GAAATGGATGAGAACCTCGGCCCCTTCTGCGCGCAGTGGAGGGGAACGGCTTCCTCAAGAAGGTGTGCGTGCGCAAGTTCCCGGAGCTGGCCGTCCTCACGGCCGCGGTGGAGGTGCGCAGGTCCCCCGGGCCCGGCGGCGGCGGCGCCGTCGATGCCAGCGCCGCCGCGCAGGCGGAGCACAGGATCTACTCCCACCTCTACGGCGCGCTCGTCGCCGCCGGGCCCCCCGCCGACTGCATCCTGCACTGCATCGGCGCCTCCAGCACCGACAACTTCCCCGACGAGACCATCGACAACACGCTCGAGCCGCAGGACCGCGTCAACAACCGTTTCTCCTACTGGTCCAGCGCCGGCCAGGACGACCCCGACGTGCCCGAGACGCTCACCTACAGGCTCGCCTCCGACATCTGCGTCGTCGATGAGATCAGGATACAGCCCTTCAAAGGTACTCTTCTTTCTCTTCTTATATATAAACAACTACTACTATATAAGGTGACTCACATCTGAAATTGGCCGTCAGGTTAATCTTGCGCCGTCAGTCATTTCATTTTTATATATGTGTGCTCATGCTTCAAATGCTTTTTTGACAGAGAATAGGAATGTTTCATTCTGTCGGATTCTTTCGGACTGTGAATCCGATTCGGACAGTTTGGCCGTGTCGGGTTCTTTCCGACAGTGAATCGGACCGTTTCGTTGTGTCGGATTCTTTCGAACTGTGAATCCGATTCGGACAGTTTGGCCGTGTCGGGTTCTTTCCGACAGTGAATCGGACCGTTTTGTTGTGTCGGATTCTTTTGAACCGTGAATCCGATTCCGACCGTTCCGTTGTGCCGGGTTCTTTCCGACAGTGAATCGGACTGTTCGTTGTCGGATTCTTAACGACCGTTTAGTTGTGTCGGATTCTTTCCGACAGTGAATCAGACCGTTTCGTGTTGTCGGATTCGTTCCAACCGTGAATCTGAACATTTCGCCGTTGGCAATGAATAACCTGTTGATGGTTGTTTCGTACAGAACAAATCGGTCCAACGGGTCATCTAGGTCAACACTTGCCGACAAACGAGTCTGTAGCGTCATCGAAGGCGCGAAATTTTAGGTTTGAAACTTTACATAACTCTACATCCAATACGACGCATGTAAGGGGATTTTCGAAAAGGCTAGCAATCTTGTTCCGCAAGTTGGCGCAGCTACAGGATCTGGTGAGGATAATTAGGCAATTGGCAGAATGATAAGGAACATAGGCATTGATGTCAATAGGATTCTGAAAGTCGAAGGATCTAGTTCGATGGAAATTATGGGGTGGCCAAACCAAGGATATACAGTTTTCGGATCTGCCTATAAATGGAACAGTATATGAAGTGTAGAAAACTTCTTAGCTAGCCAGAACAATCTACCCAATGACATTACGTGGATCGGTGACTAAGTGGTTTACCTATTATAGTCTTTAGGTAGAGCTAAATTAAGTTAAAAGGAGGAGGTCCATAACGCCACGTAAATTGATGGCTATATTTGGTTATTACTCCCAGGTGGTTGAGCAATGCAAAGTAATGTATTTTGTTAGACATATGGTATTGTAAATTTTCTCCCTTGGTTATATTTATCTTCTCGGATGATTGATTACATTGCCTTTTGTTTCAAATTGCCAGCATTCTTTCAGATTGGACATCCTATATACTCTTCAAAGATGGTGCGGTTCCGGATGGGCCATTGCAAACTTCCTCGTCCATCAGAGTCATTTATCACAGATGATGATGATAACCAAGCAGTAATTGCTGATGAAAACTACATCTGGACTTACACCTCGCCTGAGTTCCTGATGTTACAGGTGATTTTGTACCTTCTCTCTTGTTGACCAATCTATCACAGATTAGCAAATTGACGAATTCTATTATTAAACTATTTATAGTCATTCCGCCACGATCAATTTCTTTAAGTGGGAGATATTATTGACTTCATTTCATAAATACTGATATCTTACCAAAAACAAATCATGAACTACTTTCGCATTTTGCGCCTGCACACTTTCCCTGAATATTTCTGTAGCTTCACATCAACCGAATCACATTAACATTTTTTAACATACACCAACCACACAATCATGAGGGGCATGAAGCTCTCAAAAAAGATTGCCTAAATGGCTGAATAGACACACGTTGTTAAAAATGCCAAGTACTGTGAAACCGAGAAAGCTACAACCTGCATCCTGGTGTAAATAGCAAAATGGTATGGTCTGAGAGCCCAATTTTGAAAATGGTTTTGTTTCACAATTTCACTAGGATTTATTATTGCTTGAGAGATCATTCCTGTAACCGTCTTGCAAGCTAGATGAAGTTGATTTGGACGTATATTGGGGCAAGCAGATTGAGGAAGAAGGCAAGGAGGGGAGATTACTGTACTAAAGCAAATGATCTGCTGATTAGTTCAGTTCAGACATGGTAACTGCAGAGCGCAGCAGTTGCACCTGCCAGACCAGAATAGGAATTGGCAGAATTAGGAAGGGTCAATTATATGTAGAATCCAAACTACTCATAATGCTTTGTATCGCTTGATGCTACATTTGAGATAATAAAAGCGTCCTTTATCAAAAAATATGTACTCCCTCCGTTCCCTAATATAAGACCTTTTAGCTTTTTCTTGATTCATATGTATCTAGAAACATTTTAATCCCTAATATAAAACCAGTTAAGGATCGGCCTGGTACCCAATATCAAGCATGCTTTTTTTCCCCAGCTAGATGCATTTTTTGCGTTATGCTATCAGTGATATTGTATTGAAAAATAAATCAACATGCTGTATTGATGTTGCAATGAACTTACTGATGCCATCTAATTTGGTTTTACAGGAAAATAAACTGCAGACGTTTAAACTCCCGCGCCCAGCCCTGTGCATTGGTGGTGTAGTAAAGATTGAGCTGCTGGGAAGAGTGCAGAAACAAGCAACAGATGATAGGTATTACATATGGTAAGTTGAAAATGATATTTTTATGCAAAGAATATGGCATGGTTATTCAAATTTGGAGATTAGATGTAATTCCACTACTACCAGGCTGGGTCAAGGCAAGTTTTGGCTTGTCCAGACGTTGGCGAGCCAAATTTTGACTGCAAACCAAGAATGTCAAACTCATTATTTTTCAGTGCCACCTTAAACAATGAAATTGTGCTCCTCGTGGCCTTATTTTTGCTAAATGATGATTACCATGCAATTTGTCCTTGCACTTTGTTCTTTTGCACGTATAAACTTTTTGTGGAGCTTGGATGTGCACCATTTAGAACTTAGAAGATGCACTTGACTATTCATTGCCTGAACACGAAGACATGCAAATTCCCAATGGTGTATATCTTATGACATGCTATCCTGACACCCTGAAGTAGAGCTTGCTCTAAATATTATGTTCTTGGAACATTTTCTTCGGTATGTACTAGTATGTACATCCACACCTGCTCACTGACCTATCTCCATTTCACCTGTTGACAGTGTCTGCCATGCTCAAGTGGTCGGGCGTTCGCTCTCACCAGTCTTCATGGTCAACATCAACGACTCGGCTGGCTACTCCATCCTCAAGCACCTGCCAGAGGCCAAGAACCTCAGCGTGGAGGAACTGATGCAGGACAGCGCTAGTGACTCGCAGGAGTGGAAGGACGCTTTGGCCAGCTACAGGGAGACGGGGCATCTGGCCACCGCCCTCCTGAACGTGCTCCACGAGGGGCCGGCGCACCCCGCGCAGGACGCGCCGCATGGGGCGGCGCTCCTGCAGGAAATCCAGGCAATGCAGGGAGACGCGGACCTCATGCAGCAGCTGCAGGTGGACGCGCAGCTCCTGTATTTGCTGCAGGACGGTGTGCTGCAGCTGCAGGATGAAGACGGTCTACAGGCCATGGAGGAAGATGATGATGCGGACGGCGGCGGCGGCGTGTCGGACAACGACCCCTTCGCCTAGGCTAGGCGCCCCATTGCCGGCTGGGGCTGCCGCGGCTGGTGCAGAGAGAATGAGAGCGAGAGAGACCGTTCGTTTGTTGTTGTGAACTAGTGGACTTGTGAACCAACCCTTGTACGGGTGTATAGTTGAGAGTATACAGACAGGTGTTGTGAACTTGTTGTGGTCGTGAATGGGTACAGACAGGGTTTAAAAGAGTTTGAAAGTCATGGTTTGCGACTTTGGTCAGTCTTGGTGCTGCTGATATGATGTGGTCCGTTTCACGTTCTTGGTTTGTTGTTTCGTCAGGTGATGCTGCATCCGTGTGGTGGATAACGCAAGAGCGATGGATCCTGTTGCTCTGGCGAGCTAGAAATTGTTTTTGGCGGTGGCGGTCGTCGACCAAGTTAACATGGTATAATTGCACACTTGTACTTGAATCCTCCTCGACCTACCTCTCCTGGGGAAGGAAATATCTAGTGCTACCACCCTCTTATATGTTGCCATGCTACTAATTGAAATTGTTTTTTTTTAGTGGAGACAAAAGGCTTGCCTTATTCATTAATTAAGGAGAAGTCTGAGTACAAATCGCCGACTCCACAACATAAGCCCGTCAGAAAAAGATTACATATGCTCGACATACATATAGGGATTACTCTCGAGGCATATGATGGTGCTCAAGTACCTACCCCAATGGTGGCCCAAAGGTTGGTCTCATCCCAAATAAGCATGCGAATGTAGAAAGGTTTCGATTTCTTTCTGCAAACTCTAGCGTTTCTCTCGTCAACTCAACATATATGATCATAATGAGAGAAGTCATGGTATTCCGGTTTGTAGTATTGGGTCTCTGACATGTTGATCCACCGACTCTTGACATTGCGCCAGCCGCCCACCGACTCATTTCTAGAGCCCCTATTTAGAGCCAATTCTTGATCATTTTCCAAACGGCAAAAGTGGCCCTCTTGTAAAGGGTGCAAATGACATAATTTGTCCATCCCTTCCTTTCTTAGTCTACCTGTCGTCCAAATCCTGTTTTAAAGCACCAACCACGAGAAGAGGGCCCCGACCTTCCAAACGGTTTCGTTCATGATGGTTGATGTGGAACCCAATTATTAGATCTTGTAAGCCGAAGCCGTTGTGTACTCCCCATTCGTCTCAAACTTTCAAGAGATGTCTTTGTCTACATCTGTGTGAAGGTGAACCCAAAGGTCCAGAAATTCAACAATACGGACCAAAGAGAGGGGTGATGGGAGGGTTGATCTTGTGCACCCAAGTGTTGTCATGCATGGCATCCGCACCGTGCACCTCTTGTGCTTGGAGGGTGCGTAGATGAGGGGAGTAATATCCTTTGGGTTCTTATACTCGCAACCATGACGCTTCCCAAACTAGTTGAAATTGTGACAACTAAAAAGTAATACAAAAATATATAAAAATTTGGTAACATCAGCATGATGATTATATCATACCATAACATTTCAAATATATGTTCAAGTTTCACATGAACAAACAAAAAAGACGAATTCTATTGTGAATAGTACCTAATGAAAAGATCTGCTGTTAATAGGGAACTCATCTACTATTCACAAGATGTTTCATTTTTGCTCCTTACAATTGTAGATCGAGTTTGAATTTGATTTCTTGTGTTTGGATTTGTACACCACATTGTATCGCCGTTGTAACAAAACAAAAATGCGTTCTCACTTTTTTGTTAAATCCGATAGTGTGATGGTGCCACATGTAAAGGCGTGACATCACTAGACATTGTTACCTTGTAAAGTGCTAAATTCACATCATAGAAGAACGCCCGTGCGTTGCAACGGGGCCACATTAACTTTAAAAGTTCAATATCAATTATGTTAATATTACATTGAATATTCTCATACATATTAAGTGACATCGACGACCTTTTTTACCATCAAATTCTCTCTCACACACACCCTCTCCCTCCCTCTTCCTCACTCTCTCTCCCCCTCTCCCTCACTCGGGAGGTGGGACGAAAATAAACCCGAAACGGAGACTACCAACTAAGACATTAGAAGTAGAGATCATTTAGTTGATAAGAATAAATAGAAAACGGTGTTAAAAAGGAGAAACAGATTATAATACATTGAAAAACCAAAAGGACGATGTAAAAGGGGATTCGCCCTGCCCCCCGGGCCTTGCCACCGAACCGGCTCAGCGGTCCAGTCCCCGCGCGGTCGTCTTCTCCGGTTCCCCGAGCCGTGTCGCTACAGAGACGGGCTCCCGCCCGAGCACCTCGCTGGCATCGAAGGGGAATGGATAAGGGTGACGCCCTGCCTTCCCTACCCCATGGCCTCACTCCTCCTTGACGCCCCCTCCCAAATCCACTTCTCCTCCTCGCTCGCTCAATCCCGTCGATCTGGAGGAAGTCAGACGCCACGGCCACCATGACCTACCCCGTCCACATGGCCACTGCCCTCCCTGCGGGCTAGGAGCTTGTCGAGGAGCTCCGAATGCCTTCGCTACTTCGTCTGCGCCAACGAGATCAAGTCCAGCACCCCCGCATCGATGTCGCTGCCGTCTTCCTCAACCTTGGGCCACCGCGACATTGCCGTTCGATCCGCGCCGCCCCGAGCTCCCATGTCTTCGCCTAGGGCGCCATTGACACCGCCATGATCTCCTCTTGCCTTTCCCTTGTCTCCCCTCTAGTTTGCTCTCGTTAGGTATTTCGCCGTGGCCGAGAACCGCCGTCCGCCATGGCCATTGCAGGGGTAGCCACTGAGCTCCTCGGATTGACCCCGTGGCACATGCCCGCTCCTATGCACGCCCATGCCCGAGCCTGCCGCTCTTCTTCCGTGCCTGCGGGGCCACTCCCTCTCCATGCCCACGCCCGTGCTACACCGCGTCGGTCGCGCCCGCCGCTGCTGTCATGCTCGCCGCAGCCACCGCACCACTGTGCCCCGCGCGACACACACCCTGGTCGCGCGCCACACTATCGCTGGCTGCGCTCGCCCCTTCTGCTGCCCCCCTGCCTCGCGCCACCTCCAGTCATGGCCATCTTCTGCCGGCCGTCCCCTCAGCCTCGCCTACTGCGTGTTGCTTCCTGCTGCTATGCACTGCTCTACCGCTGGTACGCTGCTGCACCATGCCCTCGACACCGCCGTGGACAAATGTGGCGAAGGGATTGTTAATGGAGTACGAGAAGGAGGTGGCGGAGAAGTTGTGGAGAGGTAGGAGGTCTGGGGCGGTGTCACCTGGCTGTGGTGGAGGTGTTTATCCGACAAGGAGCCGGAGTGGAAGGAGAGGTCACAATTGGAAAGAATCATAAAAAAAATCATAACCCGGAGATCTCAGTTCAAAAAAATGCTAATATCGATGGAAAACATAGAAAATGTTTGTTGTTATCAAGGAAAGGTAAAAATTTAGGAAAGTTAGGATTTTTGAACTGATTTCTATGCAAATGGGGTTTTATTGTTGGATAACGTGATATCAGTACCTGCCCGTTTGTGACGTGTCTGATTAGGAAAGTTTGCAAATGTTAAAAAACTATTTATTGGGAGGAAAGTTGTGACGTGTCTGTTATTTGTTTTCTAAAACAAATTTCACTAATAAGTTAGGAAAGTTAGATTAAAATGTATTATTTGTTTCCTAAAAATCTGTTATTTGTTTCCTAAGATAAATTGAACCAATAAAAGGAATCAATTGATTTGCATAACTTAAGGAAGTTAGATTAAACTGTATTATTTGTTTTCTGAAAATTTGTTATTTGTTTCCTAAGACAAATTGAACCAATAAAAGGAATCGATTGATTTAGATAAGTTAGGAAAGTTAGATTAAAATGTATTATTTGTTTCCTGAAAATCTGTTATTTGTTTCCTAAGACAAATTGAACCAATAAAAGAAATCGATTGATTTGCATAATTTAAGGAAGTTAGATTAAAATATATTATTTGTTTCCTGAAAATATGTTATTTGTTTCTAAGACAAATTGAACCAATAAAAGGAATCGATTGATTTGCATAAGTTAGGAAAGTTAGATTAAAATGTATTATTTGTTTCCTAAAAATCTGTTATTTGTTTTCTAAGACAAATTGAACCAATAAAAGAAATCGATTGCTTTGCATAATTTAAGGAAGTTAGGTTAAAATGTATTATTTGTTTTCTAAAAATCTGTTATCTTCCCGGCCCAGAACGACGGAGATGCCACATGATAGTACGGCACCAACCCATCGTCTGTGCGCTGACGAGTGACGACAGAGACGACTGAGCCTGAAACTTAATCTGAGTACGAATAATCAACAGTGACGGCAACTGTTGCGGGCTTGCGGCGAGGTACCCTCACCTGGACAATGATCTTTGGTCGGAGCGCAGAGGTAAGTGGTGTTGTTGGCGACATGCAGGTCGTCCACTCGAGAGGCGGCGCTGGATATTAATGGAGATCGTGCAGGCAGACAACGAGGTGGGTGGTTCATCTGTGCGGCCTACTTCCGATCCAATCTGCGATATTCCCCCATGTGGATGCGACCCCATCACGTAGCCATACAAAACGATATAGGAACCATGATTAGATAAATATACAATGATCAATTGGACTGTATTAGAATTGGAGAGAGAATGAATATACAGGAAACATGCAGGTCGAGCAAGCCAGCCTTTCCTATGGTCGTCTTGTTCCTGCATATGTTAAGCTAATACCGAATCCAATGTTTAAAACCAATCAATCCCTAGTCTCTTTCTCTGCCAGCAAAAGTTAATCTCTGGCGTCCTTCGTCCAAATTGAATTATATCAAACTGAGCAGGACCGACATAATTATGGGAAAGCCATATAAGAGAGATTAGTAGGAAGGAGAGGATTACGTCCCGGATTTTCAGAAGAAATGTGTGTTAGTGTTAATAGGAAGGAGGGGATAGTGTCCTGATTTTTTTACTGGGGAGATGTGCATTAAAGGAAAGATAGATTGTGTCTTGATTTCCTGCATGAAAAAAGAAAACCGGAAACTTGGAGAAGATCGAGGGGTGGGGCTGGCTAGGGGGTGGAGGTGGGACGAAAAAAACTGGACAAAAATAAACTGTAGAGATTAGCCCATGATCATTAGGAGTAGAGATTAGCTCTTTCACCTTGTCAGACAGTTCCTTCAATCCAAGAATATACAACATCTAGAAGAAATAAAACCAATGACATAATTAGTAAACAATTTCAGCGATAAAAGGATAAACAAATTGGATTTTTAAAACAAAACCTGCACCTGCACAAGTATATGTTATATTAACAAAAGTGCAGATCCCGTCCCACTCTTCTTCCGAATAGCAATCTTGGTGAGTGATCTCGACCGGGTTCGATCGGCATGGCGTGTCGTTCCTCCAGGAGTGGGTGCTGAGAGGAAGGATGGCAAACCTCCATTGTCAATCGGCCGGAGCTGCATCGTCATTTGGATCAGAGCATGGACGAAATCGAGATGGTAGAGGTTGAGGAATTTGTAGAACGTGAGGGCTTAGGGTGGGCATCACGAGAACTCACCCATATCTTGGGAGACGGCAGACCCGAGGTGCAGTCGCGTTCGTGCTTCAGGGGCTGCCACGTGCTGTCCTCGCCGCCATCGCCTGTCGATGCCACTTCAGCGCCACGAGCATGGGACTGAGGGACGAAGGGAAGGAAGCGAGCTAATGACGTACCTATGTTTGGTATGTAATACCCTCCATTAAGAGTAGATATTTTCTTAAAATCGGTTATTTTGTTTCCTAATTAATGTGATTGAGCAATTTAAGGTAAGGTTAATTAATTTAGATTTGGTATTTAGAGATTGATCGTGATTGACTCTTTCACATAAAGACATTACTAAAAATAACTTGCACCAGCATGGAAAGTTATGATCCGTTAAGATTTTTTTCGTTGTGTGAGAGGGTGACGCGATACTAAACCGGTGGGGTGGGGGAGGGACGAAAAAAACCAGCGAAATAAAACGGTTGAAAGTGGTGGGACGAAAATAAACCGTACAAGGCTACCAACTGCTCCATTAGGAGTAGAGATAACGACGGGAGTTTGGGCGTGTGCGGGACTCGATCGCGGGGTTTTTCTTGGTTTTTCACGGCTGAGGGGGAGGTGGGAGGAAGTACCAAAGAAGTACCAAAAAAGACCGGATGAGGTGGGACGAAAATAAAACCCGAGACGCGACCTACCAACTGAGACATTAGGAGTAGAGATTAATTCTTTTATGATGTGGCCAACTCTCATCTAAAAGAGAATTAACTAAGTCTCATTTGCCTCGTGCACTACTTGATTTCACGTGAAGATTCGTGTGCATTTTTTTATTTGATTAACTGAATGTATATGAGACTTTCCTAATTCTCATCTAGCATGAATTACAAAATCTTTTTATAGAACTTCCCAGTGCTTTCGCATAGAAAAAAAAACTAAAGAAAGATTACACAAATGTCTCTTCACGCCTACATAAGCTAATCACAGAGTCTGAAGGCTCTAGTTTGGTTTGATTTAAGATCTTTGCTTCGATACAAATTAAAGGTGAAGATTAAAAGTTAGCCCTTGAATCAAAAAGGGTAACATAATCTTTTACATACAAAATCAATCTTAAAGTAACTTTAAGATTCATGTAAACTTTTAAGGGCATTGCTATGCATCCGCCGGCCAATGTTTACATATTATCCGCCGCCTCGGTGGTCGTTAGATCCCCGAGCTGATAGCCGTCCGATGTAGTGCCCGCACCCTACATGCTCACTCGTTACTTCCCGCAACAAACGCTCTATTGCAGAAACAAGATTGCATGCCCACTCATTACCTTCGCAACAAACACTATGTTGCAGAAACAAGACCGTATGCCCACTCGTTACTTTTCGCAACAAAAGCGTTGTCGCCGAAACAAGACCGCATGCCCACTCGTTACTTCCTGCAACAAACGCTCTGTTGCAGAAACAAGACCGCATGCCTACTCGTTACTTCCCGCAACAAATGCTCTATTGCAGAAACAAGAGAAATAGCAGGGAGCACCACCATCGCCACATCGGCCAGAAAATGGGAGAAGGGATCTATGAACCATACCTGTTTCAGTCGTCGTCGGCCACCACCGATCCCGAGCCAGTCGTCGATGCCAGCGCGTCGGATAAGCCCCGGCCACCCAACGCCTTGCGCCGCCGCGTCCGCGGCCCTCCCAAATCCAGCCGCTCACACTCCCA